CACTTCTGGAAAGAAATTTAATGTAGTATTTAGTTTAATGAATAAGTGGATTATCTTAATCATTGATTCCTTAAATTTGGACCAGGCCTGCTAGCTGCATATTTTATACAAACATAATTTTACTAACAAATTTATTTTTGAATATGAAAATAAGTATTTATTAAGGTCAAATGAGGTAAAATTAGTGGGCATAAAAACTCGATAACATAAATTCTTGGAAAAAGCTCATCGTCTTCTTCTCTTATCAAATCTAAATTTATATATTTCAGAAGGGTTCACAGTATCCTGGAATTAACGTTTTCTAGTCTCCAAAGCAATAAATAATACAGTTAATAATACAGAATAAATAATTACAGTTTCTTCATTTATATTCATTTTATAATATAGATTAATTTTTAAATAATGGTATAAAATAACTCAATATTTGATTACATCTGAATATATATATATGTATGTATCATTAATTGAAATTTATTTATTTTATTTATATTGCTATATTATCACGTTTTTTTGGGTATTTATTGGAAAATTTTTAATGTTAATTTTATTTTCTGATACCCCGAAAATTCTGTCCTTATGTGATCAATAGATAAGTTGAATGATAATGTACTTTTAATATCTTCGTTCAAATTTTTTGTGGAACTACATATTAAATTATCAGGCATTGAAAAGTGACTTGTAAATTTTATATTTACACTATATCTTTTATTCCTAATTCATAATGAATCATACTTGTTTATATCATATATTGTACTGTTACAATGGACTATTGTCTTTATCCCGGGTTCTATGACCTTGTAATGGATTTATGGTATGTCATTAAATGAAATGGAAGTGAAAAAGCAAACTAGGAAAACTTAGCATGTAGTTACTTGTGAATTGTGGAAATCAGTGATAATATTATTCCTAGTTATTTTTAGTTACGACCTGCAGATGTTCAATAGATCTATTCACAAATCCTAACCGCGTCTATGGTCACTCATACACGTCACACTTTGTTAGTTGCTTTTTAAAGCAGAATGTTAAAACACACACCCACATATACGGGTATTCTTTTTTAGTTATTAGATTTCAACGAATTAATGTCCTGATTTCAGATAGCTAATACAGAACAACTTGAACCAAGAAATGGCTGGCAACATACCTCTTCCTGGTTTCGATATGGAGAGTGGGGCGGGGAGAATCCATCCTTATTTTCCCGCCGAAACGGAAGGTTACAATGACTTTCCCTATGACGAAATACGAGAGAGTGCTACATTTTCCCGAGACTCGACAAGCAGCGGCTGCTTTGGTTGGGTCCGAAGATGCTTGTGCCTCACAGTAAGCAGATTTCAGAATGTTCATACAGAAATTAAAACGGCAGGTTATCATGTTGACTGAAAAATGTGTTCCTTGCAAATTTGGGGAGTAAGAATTTTATAGAATTCACAAGCAGCCTTCCAGACTAAAATATAAATTATAGCTGGATAAAATTCTTTGTGCCTTCCAGAATGATTTCGATAACGAAGATGACTTTTATGCCCTGAGTAACCCAGAAGAGACGGGAGAAGGCACGAAACACTCCCGAGACTGGTCCACCGGCGGCTGCTTCGAGAGGATCAGAAGATGGGTACGCGAGAAGGTAAGCAAATTTCAGACATGTTCATACTGAAAATAAAATAAAAGTCTTGCTGACTGAGCGGCCTCCGTAGTCTAGAGGTAACGTTTTCACTTAATTGTAGCGCCATCGCTAATCTCCAAAATTTACACATCACTAGAATCCACGCTATCTGTATTCCAAATCGTAATGCCTAAACTAATCGTTTCCAGATAATGGCTTCTAACAGTGGAGAGTTTTCAGCTTCCGTGCTCACGTCATTCCAGACTGGCCACTGTCTCACAACTGAACTTAGCTGCCTGTTAAATTGTTGCTGGCCCTCAACAGCACAATGAACCTTGGCTTCGAGTCCCATGGGACTCATGACCATAATTTATGAGAGCAAATTCAAAGTCAAAGTGAAATTAACGCCGGCGGCTTACCGCCGATCAGGACCACAATTCCTTTAAGTGAATTCCTTCTGTCAGAGTCCTTATGTAACATCCCGCTTCTGACAATTAAGAAAACTTAGCTTTTCTGTTGTTGCGTGCGTGTATAAATAGCCTGTTACCAAGCAAATGCCGCTGTTTTAGAGTCATCGTAGAGCCATTGCGACCAGTCAATACGCCACAACATTATATGAAATTCATGAAATAATTAGAAACAAAAGAAAAACAAATTATTACATCTAATACGAATTTGATAAGATAACAGTCTTGTAGCACACCTTGAAGTCATCATACCAGTGTAAGGCTTGAACGCGAGAGACCTTCCCGATTACCGCGATATACTGCATATCGCATGGTAATATTAGCATTCATAATTACTGTGTGAGCTTGTGGGTTTTATTTATCTGAGAATAATTGCTAATGGCGGATTCTTATGTACTCGTGAATAGAACACCGTTCCATCTTGGCACGGGGACACACAACAACAACAACAACAACAACAACAACAACAAATACGTACGGTCACATATTCCTGATTGGTGTGAATAAAAAGAATGGATTCTGGATAAGATGAATAGAATTATTGAACACTCACAAGAAGTAACTACAAATAAGTATAACACTAACTTTTCCTTGGCACTATAGCCCCACTCCATGAACTTCTCCGTTCACTTCGGTTTTTCTACATCTTACACATTCGGTAGGACTCCTTGGCCGGGTGATCAGCTCGTCGCAAGGCCTCTACCTGTACACAAACACAGAAAAACGCACACACACAAACTAAACATCCATGCCCTGAGTGGAATTCGAACCTACGACCCCGGTTTCCAATCGAGCGAAGACAGTACATGCCTTAGACCGGCAATTATAACATTATAGATCACTGGAAATACAACACATAAAATAAAGTATTCAACGTTTGCATAGTCGTCGTTGCTTGGTAACGAAACTTATCTTCAACTATAGAATTGCCGTCTGAATTTTCTTATGAATGATTTTCTGAATTCCTTGAACGAAATCTGTCCCATGGAATCACTGACTTTTATAAATACTACGCGGTTATCCTAAAAGTCACCATGTTCAAGGGCTCAATCACTGTGTTTCATGAATCCGTTGTGTCGGAGTCTTGTGTTAATTCGTGGCAACGCTTTGATCCCTCCAAGATGGTTCTTTGACGCGGGATTTGTCTTAACTATCAGTTGTCTAGAAATGGGTTATATTCGTTTCAGCTTATCATTCCGGTGTTTAGGCAGTGTTCAACAAGCCGTTTCCTAGCATAAGATCTTATACTTCATTATACATTGCGTATGTGAAGCAGTTTGCTGTGTTTAGTTATTCACACCGAAAAAAAAACTCACAACGAATATTAATTCTTTGATGCCACCAACTATTCTTGAACCATGCAACTGAAACAGCTAACGAGCCTCTTAGCTACCCGTTCCTGAACCCACTTTGATATTTGTTTCCAGGTGACTCGAAACAGCGAAATAGACCCTAACAGCTCAGCGACCGGCGGTGGCCACAACACACCCAACTGCAAGGGCGAGAGCCCAGCCACCACTGACGGTGACAACACACCCAACTGCACGGGCGAGAGCCAAGCCACCAGTGACGGCGACAACACACCCAACTGCAAGGGCGAGAGCCCAGCCACCAGTGACGGCGACAACACACCCAACTGCAAGGGCGAGATCCCAGCCACCACTGACGGCGACAACACACCCAACTGCAAGGGCGAGAGCCCAGCCACCACTGACGGCGACAACACACCCAACTGCAAGGGCGAGAGCCCAGCCACCACTGACGGCGACAACACACCCAACTGCAAGGGCGAGAGCCCAGCCACCACTGACGGCGACAACACACCCAACTGCAAGGGCGAGAGCCCAGCCACCACTGACGGCGACAACACACCCAACTGCAAGGGCGAGAGCCCAGCCACCACTGACGGCGACAACACACCCAACTGCAAGGGCGAGAGCCCAGCCACCACTGACGGCGACAACACACCCAACTGCAAGGGCGAGAGCCCAGCCACCACTGACGGCGACAACACACCCAACTGCAAGGGCGAGAGCCCAGCCACCACTGACGGCGACAACACACCCAACTGCAAGGGCGAGAGCCCAGCCACCACTGACGGCGACAACACACCCAACTGCAAGGGCGAGAGCCCAGCCACCACTGACGGCGACAACACACCCAACTGCAAGGGCGAGAGCCCAGCCACCACTGACGGCGACAACACACCCAACTGCAAGGGCGAGAGCCCAGCCACCACTGACGGCGACAACACACCCAACTGCAAGGGCGAGAGCCCAGCCACCACTGACGGCGACAACACACCCAACTGCAAGGGCGAGAGCCCAGCCACCACTGACGGCGACAACACACCCAACTGCAAGGGCGAGAGCCCAGCCACCACTGACGGCGACAACACACCCAACTGCAAGGGCGAGAGCCCAGCCACCACTGACGGCGACAACACACCCAACTGCAAGGGCGAGAGCCCAGCCACCACTGACGGCGACAACACACCCAACTGCAAGGGCGAGAGCCCAGCCACCACTGACGGCGACAACACACCCAACTGCAAGGGCGAGAGCCCAGCCACCACTGACGGCGACAACACACCCAACTGCAAGGGCGAGAGCCCAGCCACCACTGACGGCGACAACACACCCAACTGCAAGGGCGAGAGCCCAGCCACCACTGACGGCGACAACACACCCAACTGCAAGGGCGAGAGCCCAGCCACCACTGACGGCGACAACACACCCAACTGCAAGGGCGAGAGCCCAGCCACCACTGACGGCGACAACACACCCAACTGCAAGGGCGAGAGCCCAGCCACCACTGACGGCGACAACACACCCAACTGCAAGGGCGAGAGCCCAGCCACCACTGACGGCGACAACACACCCAACTGCAAGGGCGAGAGCCCAGCCACCACTGACGGCGACAACACACCCAACTGCAAGGGCGAGAGCCCAGCCACCACTGACGGCGACAACACACCCAACTGCAAGGGCGAGAGCCCAGCCACCACTGACGGCGACAACACACCCAACTGCAAGGGCGAGAGCCCAGCCACCACTGACGGCGACAACACACCCAACTGCAAGGGCGAGAGCCCAGCCACCACTGACGGCGACAACACACCCAACTGCAAGGGCGAGAGCCCAGCCACCACTGACGGCGACAACACACCCAACTGCAAGGGCGAGAGCCCAGCCACCACTGACGGCGACAACACACCCAACTGCAAGGGCGAGAGCCCAGCCACCACTGACGGCGACAACACACCCAACTGCAAGGGCGAGAGCCCAGCCACCACTGACGGCGACAACACACCCAACTGCAAGGGCGAGAGCCCAGCCACCACTGACGGCGACAACACACCCAACTGCAAGGGCGAGAGCCCAGCCACCACTGACGGCGACAACACACCCAACTGCAAGGGCGAGAGCCCAGCCACCACTGACGGCGACAACACACCCAACGGCGAGGGCGAGAGCCCAGCCACCACTGACGGCGACAACACACCCAACGGCGAGGGCGAGAGCCCAGCCACCACTGACGGCGACAACACACCCAACGTCGATGTTGACAGTTCAGCTACTGAGAACGGTGAATGTGCATCAAGCAAAGAGTGGGACATAGCAGCAACGGACGAAGGAGAGAACATGGCCAAGGGCGAGTGTGACTGCCCAGAGAACGCCGAAAGCGAAAGCCCAATGACCGCCGAGAACGACAGTCCAGCGACAGCCGACGACAACAGCCCAGAGACAGTCGTCGGAGAGGGACCATGCAATGGCGAGGGTGACGGCCCAGGGATAGCCGAGGACCACAGCCTAGGCAAAAACGACAGCGAAAGCCCACTGACCAGCGATGGCGACAGCACAGTCAACGACGAGTGTGACAACCCAGGGACAGCCGACGGCAAGGGAACATCGAAAGTCGATGGCCACAACACACCCAATGGCAGCGAGGGACCACGGTCATGGCATAGAAACCCGCGAAGGGGACATAGCAAACGAAAATTACGGGAAAATCGGAAACGCAGACGCCGGCGATAGCTCAGACACCGGCGAAAGGGACTGTGTCAGAGTCTGGTGCTATCCTAGAAATTGCTGGGACTGAGGCAAACCACGACAAATTTCTGTCAGGTTAGCCGACACTGTGAAGACACAGTATGTTTTCTATAGTGTAGGAACTGAATTTTTATGTACGTTTGCATTAGTTTAATGTTTGAAGAAGCACACAATAAATATATATCATATAATTCCGAGAATGTATTTATCTGATCATGTTTACATTAGTCAGTGCCACGCAAATTCTGAGAAAGCTCTCAGAGTGACAGATGTAAAACAGGGAGCTATGTCAACGCAGTTGGTCTGCCTTCAGCGGAATCCGCAAATCCACCTCCTGCCAATGACAGCACACCACACGCGTGATAAGCGCCTTTATGAAGCAATGAGTCTAAACAACACAACATGTTTCGAAATAAACTCACAAACTGGTGCAACACATACGAAGCCTCTTTGCCACGAATGTGCATACGGAGCATGAGAGCATATCCACATATTACAGATCTCATCTTCAGATTAAATGTACTAATTAGCAGACCGATTTCAGTAAAACCCTAATCTAGGAATTAAAATGATACCTAAGTGAATAACAAAAAGAGTATACTTATGATTTGTGTTCAAAAGCATCCACGTTCCTGTACTTTTATTGCAGCTTCTGCAGATTAATGTGTTAAAATTATATAGTAAAATTCTATGTACATACCTGTTTTGTTATCTGCTTGATGTATATATACGCTGAAATGAAACTACAGTATTCGATTTCACTACCAACGCACAGAAAACAGATCGCTCTCTGTATCTCAGCCATGATGCAGTTGTCTGTTCACGCGCATAGAAAGGGCAATAATCTCTTGCAGTTATAACGGAAGGTCTTAGCACTGAAGAAGGGACCCTCTAGCCATTTCTTGAATAGCCTTGCTTGCTTTCATTCTTCAGTCATTTAGTCGAAAGATTCGAAAATCTGAAGAGTGTAACAAAGATGTAAGATTTTCAAGCAGAGAACCAAATGATTTTATTACTTCCATCTGTTTTATGGCCCCAGGGACTGCTAAAATATGTCAAGTGTTACAAACAGAAACGAATTTAAAATGCAGAATAATTTTGCAGTACGCATCAAAATTTACACTATGTTCTTTGCTGATACAAAGTTAATTCCATCCATTTATCATAAAAATTGTGTTCTTGTCTGCTGGAGTGGTACCATGATGAAGGCAACAAATCTTTTTCATCACATCACTGGTAATGATACTTCCATATACCATCAAGAACCACAAATCACACATCAGAGTACGAAGTACAAGTACGAGGAGCATTCCGTATATAATGCCTCCAATTCTTAAAAAAAAAAAAAAAAACTACAACAGCTACAGAAAGCTTAATAATGCAGTTAAATAGAGCAGGATTTCAGCTACTTACAGTTATTTTTCCACATAATCACCACCATTTGTTATGCACTTTTGCCAGCGATTAACAAGAGCCTGTATGCCGCGCCTGTAAAAGTCTGCGCCAGCAGAGGCTAGCCACTTTCTTACAGCTGCAATGACAGCATCATTGTCTGGAAAATGTTGCCCACGTAGTCCATCTTTCATAGGCCCAAAGAGATGGAAGTCTGAAGGTGCTAAACCGGGGCTATAAAGTAGATGTTGTAGGACAGTCCAGCCAAACTTTGCAATGTGCATGGTGGTTGCCACACTGGTATGGGGTATAGCATTATTGTGTTGCAAGCGAAAGGTTGTCTGCTTCTTTGGCCTGACTCGGGAAATGCGGGCTTTCAGCTTAGTCAGCATCATCTTGTAGCATTCAGAATTGACAGTCCCTGGTCGTTATCTGCTGATCTGTACGGATGAGGCGCTGTTCATTGTGAGGAGTGGCAGCTGAGCAGGGACGCCCAGGGCGTGGTTTGTCGTGCACTTCACTTTCGCCGCTTTTGAAATGCACTACCCACCACCTCACTGTGCTGACATCCATTGTATCATCTCCGTACACCTTTAGCAAGTGTCGATGAATGTCAGTGGGTACAATTTGTTCGGCAGTGAGAAATTCAATAACACATCTCTGTTTCATATGCACTTCTATGTCAGACACCATTTTGGTAGACTGCTCTGCTGTCGCTATCTGTCGCACGACAACCAAACTAACAGTAGATTGGCGGGAAGGTTCAACCTTTACTACAACACCACCAACACCCATCTCAGACGTTACATATTAACACAAAAAATAGGAGGCATTATTTACGGAACGCCCTATGTACTTGTCCACCCCTGCCGCCAAATAATTCCCGACTTAGCCATCACCTAGGAAGTTACTGCTGACAATGTTCTGAACCTCTCAAAGTCCTATCCAACAATACTGGGAATGTGGAATTACACTGACAGATGCAACATATTCTGAAATGTTACAAAGTGAATTGAGGCCAGCCATCCACGCTGAAAGAAACCTATTACTCTTTGCTATTGCTGTATGAGAGAGCATGTATTGTAACATTAATTTATAGTGTCTCAGTCCTTCCAGTATGCTCTACCTCTTATATATGCTCTCACATGATCAACAATTTATTGAAATTCAGAGATTTATAAATATATCCTGCACACAGATGAGAATGTATGATTCATTGGGGTGAATTTAGGTGATATATGAAAATAAATTACCATAATGATACCTTGCTTGCCAGATACTTTAAATACTTTGAACAATAACTCACTGCAAAATGCTGGTACTGAAATCCAGGACCACTTAGACCAGTATCAAAATGCTTTCATGCTTTTACAAGATCCCTGAGCTGAGCAATATGAGGAATATATACTTCAAGTTTTACAGTTTAGCTTTGCTGACCATCAAACAACAGCATGCTATTTTAAACCCTACAACCTAGTTCAATGTAAATTTAATGAAAGCATAGCTATCTAGCAAAGAAATGCTCTCCCTGTATTACTACTGCACAATTTCAGTTACTCTGCTAGCCGTTTTCTTAGCAGCTGAATGGACACTTCAGGCCCCTTTGAAAAATTCATACATCCAAACTCATGTACTCCAGGGGAAATTTTGTGAATTACTGGTTGCTAAGAAACATGTCCCATTACCTATGTCAGCATAGAGAAAATGTTCATTAAACAGATTGCAGATACAGTTATACAGTGACATATTGGCAGATTAACAGAAATATCAGAACATTCATGAGTGAGAAGCATCAGTGTTCCAATGCGATGGAGGTTGCACATCCATGAGAATCCCATAAGGCATATGGTAGCTATGTGATGTATAAACATCTGCCAGAAATCTTTTCGCTTTATATCAAAGATTTGTGATACAGCCAGTGAGATCATGTAATACCACCAGCAGTCAGAAGTGATGCTCTAGTTTAAACACAAAAGGTATTTCAAGCATTAAAATATTTAGATACCAATATAACACAAAAATATTAACCATGTGGGCCTTCTTATATTTTACAACAAGAGACCTAACAATGACCAAGTGAGCTGAATAAATGAATAATAAACATGATCTTTGTGCAGATTTTTTCATGATACTACAACAAATATAGCACCAATGGCATGTATTTCATGTTAAGAATCCAGAAAGGTGTGAATTCACTGGAGTCTATGATACTAAATATCCAATTCATAACTCCTTATTTCTAATCATGAGAATCACAAAAGTGAGTATGTCACAATATGACTTCTTTACGCTTTCTTTGGACGAAGTCCTAGTGCTATACTCAGTGCTTTCAAAATTCTGTATTTCCTTGTATCTAGCATTTAAAAGCTTTATACCTCTGTAAGTACTGTACCACATATCATTTTAATACAATTCTTCATTAAACTTAGCACTTATCACGTACCTGTTAAATATTACATAATCAGAAACCACATAGGCTGTTTGAATACACTGCACCAAACACAAACATACCGTGTTCTGTGACATACATTTGAAATGTAATATAACAAAACTGCGATAAAACCTCTTTAAATGTGGCTACAAAGGCCATCAGAGTATCAAGTTTCATTTTATACTTTTACTTCATGTTAAAATATTAATAGATAATACTGACATATACTAAGACTCCAACTTAAGCCAGGATAACGTAGTCGGTGTGGAGACTGGCTATGGACTGGATGACAGGGGTGGCCTCATGAGTTCTCTCTTCTCCACATCACACAGACCAGTTCTGGGGCCCACCTGGCCACCTATCTAATGGCTACAGGGGCATGAACCTGACCACTCACCTCCAACTAGTGCCAAGGTCAAGAAAACGTTACACAGCTTTATATATACCACTACTGTAAAATCACACATAACAAGTTCTTACAAGTTCCCATTTATTTTTTCTTTTTAATTTCAACCCTGAGAACGAGTACACTAAGATGGTCTTGAAAAAGATGGAAACATTGCTTTGTAATACCTGTAACAGTGCCAACTGGGATGAGAGTAAAAAGGACGACCAACCTCGTTTTAATCAACTTAAAAATAGTACAAGAAGATTATAAAATATTATACTCCTCATTAAGTACTTATACTCCCTTCTTAATTGACTTCTCTTGGATAAAAATAGTCTCTCTGGCATTTCTCAAATTCCATCAATCGCTGTTCTCCCCACATAGCATGTCCAAGCTTCACACCCACATGTATCAAGCAGAATGACAATACCATAAGCATCAAACAGAATCAAATGCTGAATTTTGTAATGTGAGAAAATCACCCATACTGCAAATTTGCTGAATGTTACTACAAAATAATGTTTTACAATTTAATAAGGACTCCACTCCATCACCTCTTACATAAGCAACATACCCATCTCATTCTGAGTTGCAAAGCTACTGTGTGTCTGAAATTTCAACAAACTTTTATGAACATTACACAGATTCTAAAAACAACAATCAACTCTTTCAGCTTAATGGCTACAGGTAACATACCTGGTGAGTATAACCATACCAACTATGGTTAATGCCAATAACCATGGCTTATCCCATAAGCAGATGAGAATGAGCATGTATAGTATAAGCATTGCCACCTGGAAAATTAAAAATAAATCTTGTCACATATACTACAACAGTCGAAAAAATCATCTACAGTTAATACCTATAGAAACATGACATGCAGAAACTCACCATGTCTCACAAAACTTTGTTAATGTTGAAGGTTTATCCTGTGAACGTCTGAGACATAACCAGCGTTCCACTTGCCTCTCTGACAACTCCACTTGTTTAGCCAGTCACACAGTCTACATAAGAATTAGCCTTTATGCTTCACAGAAAGAAAACGTCTTTGGTTCCATTACTAATTTTGCAACAATATAATTCTAATTAGTTTTTAAAAAATTAAGTTTCTCCGGCAGTAATGAACACAGTACATGCACAAGAAACTGGCTATTACAGATCCACTGCCTCAAACATCATCTGAATATTATCTTTACTTGTTCATGCAAAACAACTACTGAAATGGAGCATATGGATATATCAGGAGAGAAGAAATGGCAATGATTATATCATATATTAAAATTGAAATTCTTCTGGATGAGCTGATTGACAAGTTTAGAGTATACACAACTGCCAAAAAGAAACCTATGATTACAATCAACTTAATATACACATGATAATGGCATTTCTTCCATACCAGATATAATGGCTATGCTCCCAGGCCTCAGCCTTCTGGAATCTGAAGTGGCATGTCCTCCATTACAGGTACAGTTTATGCTACCACAACACAGTTAAATCTCTGCCAAAAATCTCAGCACTGTTTCCCTATCATTTTCAAGAGCACACGCAACCCAAAGCCAGGAAGGATACAAACACTAACTGATAACACTTCAGTAAATATTGATAATATCTATTTGGATGAGCAAATTGCATTAAAAAATAAGTAAAAAAATGTCCCTCTGCTTAATTAATTAAGCTCTATGCGATGTAGATATATGTGGAGAATGGAGATACACCGCCACCATCCTTAACCTTGGCACTAGATGGAAGTGAGTGGTCAGATTTATGTTCCAGTCACTTTACACCCAGGAAAAAGAGTCCCCAGTATACATTGAACAGCAGCCTGGGTGGACCCCAAAGCTGGTTTGGATGCTGTTGAGAGGAGAAAAATCTCTTCCCCTTGCCAGGAATCAAACCCCAGCCATCAAGCAGGTAGCCTGTCACTATACTGGCTAAGATGTACTTGTTTTATACCCGAGTTAAACTTGGGCCCCTTACTCTATGAGAGGAGCAGAGACCGAGATGAAAAATAACATAAAGAGGAGCATCACAATTTACAGTTTTCCTGTGCTTGGAAGACTGACACATGAACGAGGAGGGTGTGACATTCAACATTCACAGGGAAAATGAGGTACACACATAATTCAGATCTGAAAACTTCAAAATATGAGACCAACTGCAAGACATGGGTACAGAGCATGTTAAACATTAGACTTTGGTGAAGTACAGTAAAGAAAATAAAAGGGAGGACATAAGGGTAGATAAAGGAAGGAAGGGGAACGGCTAGAACACTAAAATTTATTGGAATAACAAGCCATCCATTATAATAAATTTAATAGAACATGTCAAATATTCTATTAAATTTGTTACATTTGATGGCCTTTATTCCAGTGGTCACTAAATGTTTATGCTTAATTTTTCTTTTTGATAAATACGCCCTCTCCAAAATGAGGCACCTTCTTTGGTTTCGTATTTTTGATACTCAGAGAAATTCCAACAGAAGCAAACCAATATCTACAAAGCACACATTCCATAACATAAATATATTTGAACTCACATCAAACACTTTTAACCCAAAATATTTGCACTAACATTCCCAAAATAAATCTTACAGCCAACAGCATAACAGCCAATACCAGCGATCGGAGCGGTACTACTAGATATCTGATCAACTGCACCAAATGTATGTGCTGTATTCATACCAGGGTCAATGAATGGTCAAGACGGTCAAGACGAATAATGAACTCAGTGCCTTCAGTATGGTTGTTACACTCAGTAACTGTCTAATTTAATTTAAACAACATATCAAGTTTAATAAATGTCCAAAGCCTCTTGTACAATGGGCACCGGCGATTGCCTCCCTGGTGGAAAATCGGCAGGGACATGATCTGATCACTCACCCACCATCACGAGCCAGATGAATGCAGCCCATACCACTCCGACCTATTTCTCTAAGATCCATTTGAATGTTATCCTGTATAGTTTTTCCTCATGGTTTCTTTCCTTCTAGCTTCCCCACCAAAAACCTACATGCATTCCTTTCCTCGTATTTGTAGTGCTCATAGATGCCCTGCCAAACTCTTTCTCCTAGGCTTCGTCATTCTAATTATATTTGCAAAGAGTACAAATTATGAAGTTTCTCCTTTTGCAGTTTTCTCTAACCTCATACTATATCATCCATGTTCAGTCCAAATATTCTCCTCAACACCTTCCCACAAGTATGAAAATATTTCCAATTTTATATGGATAAGGTGTTTTTTCTCTTGCTTTGTTGGAAGAACATAATCTACAGGCGTTTAAAACTCAGTGGATCTCAAAGGAATGAAGTGGCTATTTAGCAAATTATATAGTGAGGAACAGTCCTATCCAATGGGTACTGGGAGCTCTTGCCCCAGGGGAAAAGGTGCTGGGGAGTGAGGCTGACCAGTCATCTCCAACTGTTGCTGAGGTCATGATAACGTGGGTCTATACATCCACTACCCCACATGTCTTCATCATGTATTACTTAATTAGTTAAGCACAGGGACAACTTTATCATTAATCAACATAGTGTTGTTGCAGTAGAGAAATTTTCATATTTTGTGGTGGATTGGTCTTGTAGGTAGGGAATGGATGACAAAGAGTGCATATTATTATATCATTATATTATTTATTACACTATTATTATTTTTATTCTTATTTATTTTATTGTAAAGTATTTGATTTGTCCTACATCATGTATAATGATCCATGGATATGAAGTAAATAAATAAAAAACAAAATCACAGAATTTTGGTGGGGAGATTAATAATTTGCTCATAAGATATTGAAAGAAAAGTGGAGTAGACAGAGATTGGAGGATAACATTAATGTGGGTTCACAGGTTGTGAGACTCAGTGGCTAGTGGATTCATTAGCAAGTACAGTGGCATGTTATGGTATTGGAGTGTCCTTGAAGTTTCAGCTTTTAGCATAAGAGAATTTGTTGGGCAAAGAATGACAAAATATTGATGCTGATGCCTTATGTCTTACTGAAGCCTTTATTTTATAAAATATCTTCATAAAATTATGTACAGCAGTTCACATAATTTAAGGCTATAAAGCACTACCTTCTATATGAATGGGTCCAGAGACCATTTAATTTTATTATGAACACCTTCAGTTGTATACAGACCTGGCTGTACATCCAGAGGCCCCTCTATGATTGATTGCACATATAAAAATGCACTTTAATTTGGAAGAGTTGTGCGCGTTACATGCCTAATGACATCAATTATTTAACATAGGCCTACATAAAGAATACACCAAATACACAGTTTTGTATTTATAATTTTAGCAATTGACAATTTATTTGGAAATTCTGGTTGTTGAAAACTTTGCGTAAGTCACTGTAATGAGTTCAATGGCGCTTCAGTGGCATGCTTATTCATGCCTACCTTGCCTAACTACTGATGGGGAATTTGAATGGATAATAACAAGATGTGATAATCCAAATCAGTAAGTGACAATAAAGATGCAGAGTTGAAAATAAAATCCCTCTAACATTTAAAATCTGAACATAATTATTTTAAGAAACACAAATTTATAATAAGATATTTCTAATTCATTCCTACTTGTGAGACTTTTGTTTATTTATTTTTAAACAGTAAATTCTAGGAAGATGCATCAGAAGCAAATTTGGAAAAGTTTTATGAAACAGTTATTTTCTTTCTCTAATTCATTTAATTGACAGAAATTTACATATCAACATAAATGTATATGCCAACTTTTCGGTGAAATACTTAAATTTCACCTGATTTACATTATTCATTAAATACATAGGACTCAATTTCCTGGATACCCAATGTTCATTTCAGATACTACATATATTAAGTATGTCTCATTATGTCTAGAGCTCCCATGTGTTGATTACTTATGACATAGCTCATACAGATAAATTAATCATATTCAGGAGCTCTCTCAATGATAATCTAATGAATATGTATAATAGCTTCAGCGTAAATGGAACATAAACTGTGACTGAGTTGTTAGCAGAATACTTCCATGACCTTAATAAAAATGTAGGTGTAGCCTTTCGCAAATCTGGGTCAATTTGAGCAACATTAACTCATACCATCTCTAATTTTCATTAGCAATTATGTGTGTAATAATTCTGTACTTTTACAGTGGAAAAGGTGTATCAGTGAAGATTAAAATAGTATATTCCTATAGCTTCCCATAAGTGAAAATTTACTTTCTACTAATATTATATTTCAGCATCCTATTGCATTGATACATCACATGTTCACTTGTTTCCATCTCTAATGCAACATAAATTTTATTTTAAAATGTCATTAAAATTGCATTTTATTTTACTATTGGGAAATGTTTCGGCCCTATGAGGTCATCTTCAGGCAACTGTTAATCAATTGAAAGTACCTCACGGCATCAACTCATATGTCAAGACATTCTGTAATCACTTTCAGATATTTAAGCTTCAGTAATTTTCTCACATATACTTAATATATTCATCAATGGAAGGTTCCAGAAATGGATCAATTTTTTTTAAATACGTGTATCATGTAAAGTTTCTTTTTTAGTAATGTTACAAACAACATACACAGCGGTAGTGATACAGCAGCATAACTAAAACTCTTTTCATATTAGGTAATCTAATAAAAACTCATATTCATGTCTAGCTTATGGCTAACCTGTGCTCTCAGATTATCTCATTTCCATTTTTGCAAATACTGTTAGTCTTTATCTTACACAATTACAATACTTCTGAGAGCTCAAGCAGACCTGGAAGGATCATGAACACATTGCATTTTTGACATTATGCTTTCAGTTATATCATATTGGCTCTCAGGCTTGAGCCATGTAATTCATTGACCATATAATTGACCATGGTCAACATGACAGTCTCAAGAATGGTTTGTGAGTCCATGTATAGAGTTATCTGGATCATTGTGGAGGTACTCAGTTGAAACCAATCATGGGTTTCACTTGTAAGACAAATCATCATCAATATTTATAGCTGCCATCCCCAATTCAATAAGGTAGACCATTGAAATATTTGTATATCCAGGAAATGACAAATAATAGATTCTCACTCAGCAACAGATGGGATCAGCTACATCACAGGAAATAAATCATCTCCCATGACTGAGATGGCTTTTCATTGTCCACAATAGGGCACTAACTAGTCACCACTCCCACCAGACATTCTCCCAGATATCTATATATACTGCTCACAGACCATTCATGTTCCAAATGATGGCAACTAGTGTTCACTGAAATGTTGGCTGCATCTCAACAAATTCATGTCAGACCTGAAGCCAATACAGCATAACACTGCAAATTTTACTGCTTATGGCACACCTTCCTAGCATACTGTTGACTGACATTACACACGGAGGTATTCTTTTTTGTACACTAGGTATAACTGCACTTTAGTTCTAAAAACGTTAAGCTGTACAACATATAAAGCATATTTTCTTTTTGAGTTCAATTTTTGATTGAAGCCTTACTACACCTACATTTACTCATGCGTTGAATATGATAAACATTTAGAAGACAACATATAATTGGCATTGTAATTAGTTGTCCTAGTATTTCTTCTTTTAATGGAACAAATTCCATATAGCCACTTAACACTATCTTCCAGCATGAGTGTGAAGAATGGCTTCATAGTTCTGATGATTCTTTGAAACTTTCTGACAGTTTCTGTTTCAGTATTACAATATGTTGGACATGTGTTCGTTGTCTATTGTATATTCAATATGCATGACTTAATTTTACATTTGAGATGTTCTAGTTTTTGACAGTATGATACAATTTCCTTTAACTGGATAGTGATATATTTATATGTATATATCTGGCTATAAGGGAAAAGCAGGATGTTAGCTCTAGAAAGTGCAGTTCATATAATACATCCATTGTATTCATATCACAAAATCATATAAAACTTCAACTAGTACCTTATATTTAAGTACTGTATTAACAAACAAATGGAACATTTTACATTTGCATTTATTTGAACATGTACAATACATGGAGTGGTTCAGTGCAATTGCTACGGGCTTCTATTTGGTGCTGAGGTATAGTAAATATCAGCTGCCATATAGGTGGTCATGCAGAAAGGAAGTAAATTCTAGTGCAAATACAAAAGAACGCATGAAACCTGACTCATTGTTAATAAAATATTGCATCACCCAAAGCACGTGCTGGGAACAAAAATTCTGGAACCATTGTATGAACAATATTAGAATCCCTTCTCTGAACATTGGAGTGGGGGGTAAAAAGAGCTTTATTTCCAACAGTGTACACCATAGACAAATTCAACAAAGTGTCTGTTGACTTTGTTCTGTGAACAGATATTCACTATAGGACAGTGGCTGCACGTGTGGCTTTTATTTTTCAGGCAACTTGTAACAATAGTTTGTGTTCTATCATCTGTTTATTTAACAACTCTTCTTCAAGTGCATAGGATATGTAGCATTAATGAATGTTACAGAAATAAATTATATTTATTTGTAAGCTTTAGAAATCAATATCCTGGATGTTACAGAAATCAAGACAGAATTCAGTTTTTGTCACAAAATAATATATATTATTAAAAAATGTGTTTGAATCTATCAGCCGTAAAATCATTACAATGTGATTTATTTTATGGGGAACATTTTAAAATATGGGTGGATTATTATTCAGTAACTTTGCTAGAGTGCATTTTTTTCTCCTGTGTGATCATCCTCATTGATATTGAATCTAAAAAAAAACTCATTCTGTGTACTTTAAAGCAAAAATGAGTCAATCTGACCAATCCACATTAAAGTTCATGGACAAGCAAATAAATAGCACATATTGCATTGATTTCTTGGGAGTGACACTTGATTCGACATTCTGGCAAGGACATATAACCAGAGTAATTACTAAGTTGAATTCTGCTTGTTCTGCTATTAGAACTCTCAAATTGTTTTTAACGATAGAGAATTTAAGGATGGTATATTTTGCATATATTTCACTCTGTCATTACATATGGTCTTCCCTTTCTGAGAAATGCTGTTAATAGTAAAAACGTTTTTATAATGCAGAAGAGAAGTATAAGAGTTATTTTTAATGTAAACCCCAAAATATCTTGTCGGGGACTCTTTAGACATTTAAATATTTTACCTTTTTATTCTCAATACATGTACTCCTTGCTGTTGCCGGTAGCAAAAATACATCTAAATTTGTAATTAGCATGGAGGTATATACAATAAATACAAGACAAAGCATTAACTTGTATTTGCCTTCGGTTAACTTGTCCAAATGCAAGAGAGGTCCCTACTTTATGGGTATAAAGATTTTCAATCATTTCCCGCGGGATATAAGGAAATTGCTATATGATGTTAATAAGTTTAAAGTGGTTACTAAGAATTTTTTTTTACAGGAATCATTTTACTCAATAAATGAATACTTTGAGTGGTCTGATAAATGAAATCAAGTTCTATTTATGTTGCTGTTTGGGTCACATTTTTACATTGACTTATACACTTATTTTATATTTGTATATTATTTTGCAATTGTATGTGTATAATGTATCATATTAATGTATTATTGTATTACTTAATAGGGTGTAATGTCTTTGTATTACTATATTACCAACTGACAAGGCTGCTTGTTGTATGGCCACTATTGTATCTTATTTTACTGTATGTGGACATCTTCTATATCCTAGGTGATGATCACTGTTATGGATTACTCGAAGAAAAATAAAATGAATGAATGAATCCTTATGGTGGCTGATATTTATTCAGTTGCAGGACTGAGAAGAATGTTATAACTTTTGCAGTGAGCCACTCCATTTAAGTATAATCTCTTCAAGCTGGTATATCTTTTTATGAATGATCTTAAGCTGAGAATTTAATTAGGCCGGTTGCACGTTTCCGAGTTTACTGCACAATGAATCTCATATGCACATTCAGAGTCTGTGAAAGTAGATCTGTCAGCAGACTCAAAGATAGTTACCATACTTCAATAGATGTAAAATCAGACTATTTTCAGAAGTCTGTGTTGTAGTGTATTTTGTTTAACACAAAAGTTAAAGTCTATTAGACTGAGATTTTTGTGTGCGTGTGTGAGAGTTATAAGAAACTTAACCTGTGAGACTGAGCAGATTAGCTCAAATTCAGTTCAGATCTTGAATGGGACATGAAATAGCTTGATCAAAGTTTTTCATGGTTACCCTCAGTCCTGTGTGGCAAATGCTGGGTAGCACCTCAACTGAGTCCATGATTGCTTCCTTTCACATCATTTCCAATTCATTATTCAACAAAATATCCTATTCAAACTGAGCAACTATTTTGTGATCATCTCATACCTGTGATTTTATTGCACAATTAATACCCATTGTTATACTTGAAAATTTTCTGTATTAAGAAGTTAAAACTCTTTACTCCAAGTTCAACCTTGACTGAAGTTTGTAATGCTGGTTGATCAAGATTATTGTACGTGTATAGACATAAAATATATAGTGTCAGTGAAAATATATATAGTAGGAGAAAGCTGAATACTTGCAGAGAAACTTGCCACATTATTGGGAATGGAAAATCTGTTCATGTTGATTCTGCTTTTGATCTTTGTACTGTGTTGATGTGTTGGATTTACATATTGTATTCATTTTCACGATTGGAGCAGGGTGAGTCATTGTATACAGGTTTTGAACTAACAGACTCACAGGGTAAATAGGGCTGATGCCCATTTCAGTAGGTACAGTGAAAAAGGAAATGTTCATTATCAAAACAGCCTGTCTTAGGGCCACCAAGTGCACCAAAATTCCTCAACGGCTAGTGTTCACAAATGGCCAGCCATCCAAGTGCTTGCCAAGCACATTGTTGCTTTGCCTCCTCTGTCATGTGTTGAACAATGTGGAAGGTGGTGGAGGGATCCCCATAATCAGTAACATAAATTCTACTATTGTTAATTTGAACTACTGACAGAATTAAGGTATTTTCTACATTTTTAATTCATGTTTCAGAATCAATCTGCAAGAAGGATATATCCATAAACTCTTTATTGACAAATATATTATTTTTCTAAAATGTTAATCTTATTATGGCAAAATCTTTGTTTATACTTAATTACCTTTATTTTCAATTGTGTCAAATAATTTAAATATTTTTACATACACAGAGCAAGTTATCTAATTTTATGATATGAAACTACATAATTTCAAAGTAAACAATAGATGTAATTAAGAAAATATTAATTCCAAAGTATAAACTGATGATGCCACATAAAAATGTTATAAACTCCAATTGTGCAACTTTCAAATTATGGCCTGATTTTGTGATACCTGTTTTGTGTTGTAAAAGAGTCTGTTTGATGAAATAAAAATCTTTCTTATTTTATGACAATTTGTTATTTATACAGCAGCTCAACATGCTTGTTACTAGAAATCTTGATATATTATCTCATATTAAAGTTTTTCGGTAATTGCATATAACATTCGGTTTTAATACGCTGCACTCAACTATCTAAGGAAAGTAACAGTTCTAAACTTCTTCCTCTACATTAAATGAATCTGAGATCTGTATTCATGGCTTGTGTTCTGAACTCTTGGTATGTTATGAAATTGGACCAAAACATATATTACCAAATGGGAATATTAACTTTGTTATTATTAAATTTCTTACTGAGGAAGCAACTGCTTAATTCTTTGTAATAGAAGCAGGAAAATATATATATATATGTATTGGAAATATATTTAAAAGTTTTATCTGTAGTCAAAATGTTTTTGGTAAGGAAATCTTCAAATGTACCTCTTTCCACACATAGAACGAAGTACATGAAATCCAATAGTAATTCAACGAATTAACTTCATGTGGAAGCAATACAATTACAAAATTAGAATCACTTTTTTCGTGTGCCACAACTCCATTATTATATTTCAGATATTAAGGAAACTAAAGAATGGCATGGAGATCTGAGCAAAGAACTGCAGTTATTGTGACTTTATAAGTTTTTAAAACGGTCATTCATGTTTTTGATGTTGGGAGTACTGACATTTAGTTTCAATTTATATGTGATTGATTGAAATAACTGAATCCGATTTTTATTTAAAAATTATTGCCCTCTATCCTAAACCAATCACTTAATCATCAATGGGAATAGGGTGACCAAACAATTCAAATGTGATGATTAATAAATTACAGGATCTGAGGGAAAAAAAATGCAAGGTTTTTGTGTGTGTGTGTGTGTGTGTGTGTGTGTGAGTGAGTATTAAGAATATGTGTGCACATGCATACTAATATGTATAGGCTTCATTATTTTTAACATTTCTTCTCCTTTTTTTTTTTTGGTATCATGGATAGGTTGCTTCATTGTCTGGTTATGCAGAAAGCCTAATAAACCAGTACAGGAAGATGGCTCATATTTTAGGTGTAGCTGGAATATCTTAACATCTTATCTATCTATTTATAACCGATATATTTTAACGCCATGTGAAAACCATGAGAAACTTGTTTTATGAGGCCAAACTTCTATAGCCTGTCTGATATTAAGAAAAGATCATTGCTGTTATAGCAACAATAATGCAGTCATTAACATAATAGTGATTCTAAGCACTTGCTCATTTGTAAATTCTCTGAAAGCAACATTAGCCATTTTACAAGTACATCAATACTCACTTCACTTCACACTGATGGCATTAAAAATCAGACAGTGTTTACAGACTCTTGGAATGTAACGGACTAAATGTATGTATTTAGAGAGAAAAATGTGGACAGTAGGGAAAACTGGTATGTTTGGCAAGAAAAGGTCTAATAATGTAAAAAGGAAATACATAATTATTGAAGCAAATTCAAAACTACAGTCTGATAAGAAAATTATGAATTGCTTTCACTGTCATCTTGTGGAAGAAACATGCCTAGATCACATACAAATATAGGAAAAGAAACAGAAAATTTTACTTCTCAAAGGTGGTGCTACTGCAAGTAGCAACTCATAAGACAAGACAATTTTTTAATGCTGAATGCATCATGCATCACAGTGTATATTTCGAGTGATTTTTCTCACCATAACAATCAGTTTCTCTATTTCTGTAATGATACATCCTTAAAATGGTTAGTAGTAGTAGTAGTAGTAATAACAATAATAATTGCTATGATTTTTGTATACAGAATACAATTAATTATTTTAAAAAACAACAATCACTATGTTCTTGTATTCATATTAATTTATTTGTTGTTTTGTTGAAGGCATTTGATAGTACAGTAACTGTTATAGTTCATCCCTATTTTCTAATAAAAAAGAGGGGGGATGTTTTGAAAGTAGTGGTCTCCTTCTTGGTATCATAATTTTGTCACATTTAAATTTTAAGTATTTCTTTCAAATTTGAGTTATAGTTTTTTGATATTTTCATTCAACAATATTTATGTATTAAACAAAATTTATGGAAGCCTTGAACTGACCAACATATGAATGATGTGCTCATAGCAACGGATAATATGTGGTGGATATCGGTACTTTGAATTCCATGAACAGAATTAAATTTGTAACTATCAAGCACATAATTTTAATACATATATTTTAATAACTAATAGGGGAAATTTTGTATCAGCAGCAGTAGACTAGGTTTTATGTATATTTATGTTGTTGTGCCATTTTTTCTCAGCATTTTAAATGTTTCACTTGTTTCTGAATTCTGTATTTTTATTCAGATAATGAACTTACATAATTTAATTCACTTATCTTTTCTGGACATCGTAATATTTAATGGTGTCTAGCTTTAACATCTTGTTTATGCTGTGTGTCTGTGGTGAGCAAAGACTCTAATATTTTTCCTTAATATAAGATCTGAGAATTGAATCAACAGTACAGCAATTTATTATCCATGTTATTAAAACCATATTTTAGAATTTGTAAGGAAGATTATGCTATGAATTTTTTCAGTATTATCCCATCACCCTAAATCCTGAAGTATACCAGAACAAATTGTTATGAATCTAATCATTTCTTTCAGTATCTTCCATTGACCGTTAATTATTGACAAATTCACAAATGATTAACCGGATGTGATATTCTTGAAGAATGGTCCAGGCATTCTTTTGCATGTTTGTAGTTCTAGTACTGAGTATCGACACTTAGTGAAAGTGTAGACTGTTCACTCTATGGCTATCTATGGCGATGGTGTGTCTGATTCTAGTCCTGTGAGTGATTGTTACTGCTGCAGCTCCTTTGTAGTGCACTTTGATCCAGCCTCTGAAAGCAAGCAAGAATCATCAATTAATAACAGAGGGAAGAAGAATAAGACTCTTTGGTGTTTACGATTTATGTGCAATAACAGCATCACAAAAAGGTATTTTTTTCCTCCTTAGCAGGAGTCGCATGACAGACACTGGAAGAAGAAATTATGCAGAACCATCAGGAGGCCTGGTTAAATTGTCTTGCCACAGTGACATTCCTTTGTGATGCCAGTTGGTGTCACAATGGTGATCTCACCAGGGTAACATGTGTTTGAATGGAGCAACTGACTCTCTTAAGAATGTGGGACTTCCGTAGCCTAAGTCTCTGAGAACCATGTGACCGTACACAATTGTTTGCCATTATGGTACTACTATAGTGCCAGCTATAATTTGAGACTATTTTAGCCCCCTTTTCAATCTGATATAGCATCATAAAACATTGATGGAGTTTGGAAATATTTAATATCGTAGGTAACCTGTATAATGTATGCAATATTTTTGGGCAAACAAATAAAAGAAGATATCTGTGAGTTTGTCTGTGTGAAGTGTATGTTGACATCCATGCATACATATCTGTATGACTGTATGTTTGTGTTTCTTTGTCAGTGTTGTTGCCATTGCGTGTGTATGTATGTTTGTGTTAAGTGTTTTTGCCTTTGTGTGTGTGTGTCCAAGTGGGTATCTTTGTATCTATACATGATGTGTGTCTGTCTCTGAGTCTGGTGTGTCCATGTCTCTGTTTGTCTCTGTGTGGGTACTTTCTCCATGTAGGTGTGTGTGTGTCTGTTCTGTGCATCTCTGTGTATGCATGAATCCAGCCAGGTCTACCTTTCTATCCCTCAGCATGTGTTTCTGCATTTGTATGTGCCTCTGTGTCATTATTCCTCTGTGTGTTTCTCTGTGTCTGTGTGTCTCTGTGTTTTTATATATCTAGTAATAGCTCACTGTCTTGGGATTCTGTGTGTATTCCTGTGTTTATGTCTCTATATCTGTGTGCAATCTCTGCCTTTTTTTGTGTGTCTGATTGCAAGAGTGAAACACTGGGGAGGTTTTGTGATGGTTTCGACAAAAATATCATGGTACAGTATTCTGTTGGTCCCATTATTACCATTCATGGCTGAATTACTGCAAGGGAGTACATGGACAGGTTGGGTAATCATGTGTAGCCCACAACCCAGACATTATTTCTGAACGATGAAGTTTTCCAAGATGGCAATGCCCCCATTGTCATTGCTTAGTTGTTCGCCTGTGTCTAGGCATCTGTCTGTTCATGTCTCTTTTTCTGTGCATGTTTTTTTTGTCTGTTCGTGTCTCTCTGTGTCTCACAGTCTCTCTATTTCTGCAGTCATGTGTTTCTTTGTGTCTCTGTCATGTGTAGACCTTTGTGTGTGTTCCCCTGTCTTTTTGTGTGTTCCATCTGTATGTATGAATGTTGTGAAATAAGTTAAACTACGCCTTTTTTTAATTAATTAATAGTGCATATCCTAATATTATCCTTGTCTTTATATATTATGATCCTGTTATGCCATTAAGGTTATATCGGAAAAATTATAGAATCTTGGGTTTGAGAGGGCGCAGGGACAGAAGTTGAAATATTGCATTGTAGTAATACAGGCCAACTTGGCTAACAGAAAACTGGCTATCTGGTGTAAGAACCCCGATGCAGCTATGAAGACATCCAGCATAATTCTCAAGCGTAACTAGGACAATGAGCAATGTTGACTCAGCCATGAACAGTTGATAAAATACCCCAGATCTGGAGGCACAGAGGAACCAGTTACTACAAAATTTAATAGTTGCTACAGGACGTTATGCCGGTCAGCTTTTCGATATTTTGAGGAAATTCGCCCAATACAGAGCTTGCAGAACCAGACCAAAAAGGTGTCCTAGGACTCAAGAATTTTCTCTGTCCATTGCCATGATCTCTGCGCTTCAAAGTAAGTGCAGTCATAAATTATAGCCGAGAAAATCTTGGATATTTTAAGGACCCATGACCTAGGACAAGTAGTGTTGGAAGTAATTGGTTTTGTAAAATCAGAACGATATATGTAAATAATGTATATAGCTAACCTCCAGTATCACCATTTTATTCTGCAAAATCCTAACCCCAGAGAGATTTTCGCTATAGCAAGTAATGGCTGCTGCCACTAAGATTATGTTAGAATAAGATTAACCTCCTTCATCACCTCAGCTCAAAGTCCATTAAGCCTTTAAAAGACCCATGGTCTTTACTGACCCTTCTTGAAAAATCCGCAGTCTCCAGGGTGCAGGACAGTGAGGGTATGTTTAGCAAGAAAATTAGGGAGGCTGCTCACTTACAGAATGGAGATAGCTCAGGTGCCTACATACCTGTAGCAAACTTATTAACTACCATTTTACCACCATAGTCATCATGTTCACTGAAGTGCTTAAGGTCATTGGCATTATGGCCCTAGGGTTGACTAAGCCTCTAATATAAATGAATACCAGGAATCTTCCGGGGGGGGGGGTTAAAGGCGCCCAATGTGTAAAGCTGACAACCACACTGCAATCTGCCAGCCGACTGTCTAGGAAAAATGTAAGCCTCGATGTCTCACAACTCTATGGGCCTCCACAGCCTGTTACAGCTGGTATAATAGATCCTTTTTTTTTTTATACTTGTTTCCAGGCTTCTTTATTTTATTCTGTCACCACAACAGGTAATAAGGATACACCATAACTTCTTCGTTTCTTACAACACGTATCAGCTCATTAGGCCATCAGCAGGTCCTTGACTTGTTTACATTTTCTTGTATTCTTCTGCTAGTGTTCCCTACATTTGCCAATGTATTGTGTTGACTTAATAAAATAAAGAAATTTCACACACAATGTGACACTAAAATATAATATTTCTTTTCCAGGTATATCATATCTGTAGCAACTTATCATTGCTTGTTTACATCTACAAAACATCCTTTCTATTTCAGGTCAAATACATACTTCTGATATATAAGACACATTGCTGCTCACAGAGAGAAGGACTCTATATTTGTAGTACATTGTCTATGGAAACCAATTGCACAGCCATGTATACATACCTCCTTTGGATGGTGCTTTAACTGGTTTAGCTTTTGGAGGATCAGATTTCTCTTTCTCTGGACTGTCCTTGCTCTCCGATTTCCCTAGGAAATCAAAGAATTGTAATGTTGTAAATTAAATAGATATTGAACAGAAATTCATCAACTTCTTCACCGTTGTCTTCATCATCTTCTTTCCCATGACTATTTCTGATACCGTCCATCTTAGTTGTGACAATAGTTTACATGGGTGCTATGATAACATTACCTCTGCAATTCTTAACATTTTCATGAATTCAAAATTATTTCTCAAAGCATTAATCTGTGGAACTGCTCACTGAAAAACAAACCAACGCTGGGACTAAACGCTACAGATATACGAGTGATTCAGAAAGATGGACTCAATTTCAATTGGCTATATTTCCTGAATTGTATGTTGCATTTGAATTCTGTAAATTACATTTGATTATATATACATGGAAGTTTATAGATGTTCAATGTGCCCCCCTCCAGCTGCACCGATAACATCTAGACAGTTGCTGAATTCATCCCACACTTGATGACAAATATCTTGTGTCACTGAGTTCACCGCAGCTGTGATATGGTTTCTTAGGTCAATCAAACCTGTGGGAAGAGGTGGTACGTAAACTGCATCTTTCACAAATCCCCACAGGAAAAAGTCGCAGGGTGTGAGATCAGGAGACCCCGGTGGCCAGAACTGAAGTGTCAAGTCTTCATTCCCCATGCGACCTATCGATCGTTAGGCAGAGATTCATTCAGGAAATGTCGAACACTCAGGTGCCAATTGGGTGGAGCTCCATCCTGCTGGAAAATGTAATCTGAATCTTCATTCATTTGAGGAACAAGCCAGTTTTGCAGCATTCTAAGATACGTTACTCCAGTAACCGCGTTTTCATCAAAAAAAGAAAGGTCCATAAACCTTTGTTAACGATATTGCACGGAACACATTAACTTTCGGGCTGTCCCTCACATATTCGAGTGTTACATGGGTATCTTGTAGCCCCCATATGCGAACATTGTGCCTGTTGACTTTCCCACTTAGGTGAAACGTAGCTTCATCGCTAAAAATTACACGAGGCGGAAACAATTCATCTTCCATGTTTTTGGGCATACGGTCACAAAATTCTACACGCTTTACCTTATCGTTTGCGCGAAGAGCCTGTACCAGTTGTAGGTGGTATGGTCTGTACACTAACCGGCGCCTCAATACACGCCAGACAATTGTTTGCGATAGTCGAAGTTCTCTACTAGCACTACAGGTTGACTTCATTGGGCTACGCTCAAAGCTCACTCGAATGCACTCCACGTTCTCCTCCGATACACGCGATCGGCCCGGGCTTTTACCCTTACACAGAGAGCAAGTTTCATCAAATTGTTTATTCCAACGATAAATGCTCTTCCTCGTTCGAGGTTGGATGTTAAACTTACGACGAAATGAACGCTGCATCCCAATCACAGACTCACTTTTACTGAACTCACGAATGCAAAAATCTTCTCTGGCACAGTAGCCATCTCGCTTACAACTGACGCGGTGCTGGAGTGCTCTAGCGGTAGTGTTAGAAACGTTAGAAACTTTACAACATCCTCTTTCAAATGTACTTTACAGAATTCAAATGCAACATATAGTTCAGGAAATATAGCCAATTGAAATTGTGTCCATCTTTCTGAATCACTATATTTAAACACAGCGTCAATGTCATGCAAAATAAACTCCGGTTAGGTCTTTGATGTTTTCAAACCATGTAAATTTAGTCTTTGAGAGAAATAAAATCCAGGATTACTTACAGAACATCGGTCAATAAAATTCTACATAATGTAAATAAAAATGTTGTTACATTCACATCCTTTTTAGTAAAAGAAAATTTAATTAAAAATATGCAATTTTATTTACTACGCAATTAAATTTCTGTAAAACCACGATACTGTCATGCATGAAGTGTGGCAGTGAAACATGGACTCTTACAAGAACAGAGGGAAGATGACTGCAAGAAGCAGAATGCGGTTTCTACATGAAGTAGCAGGTTACTCTATGGGACAAGAAAAGGAGCAACGAAAGTCACAATTAGAAAAAGGAAACTGGGCAAACAAATACAAGGAAGAAGAATTTGCTGAAATATCTACAAAAGATGCCATCAGAAGGAGCTCCCAAGCAGTTTTCATATCATCAACCGTTACGAACACGTAATCCAAGACGGCCAAGAAGAATGAGGCTTTATATATTAGGACGGAACGGCGTAACAAGTTCAGCCCTTGCAGATGATGATTAGTTATTTCTACTAGCCCCGTTGAAAATTCTTCTTGGCGCCAAGTCCCTTGAGGATCGCGAGCACAGTTCTTTCTTCAACTGAAATAATGCGGTCATAGTCTTTACGCAATATCCTCTCTAACGAGAGGATGAGTCTGTCGTTTACAATTGCTGCTGACCCTCTTCAGCACAGTCATTCTCAGGTCCGAGTCCCGCGGGATCGTGACCATATTTTTCTGTCTCACGTATTTTCTCACTTCTGAATAAGGATTCTGTCTATAATGCCTGACAAGGAGGATCCTATGGCTATGTATTTTTTTTATTGCAGAACCTATCTTCGTACTGAAAACATTGTTGCATTCGATGGAATTCAATTCTAATTTCACTTATAAAGTTCAACGGCTGATGAAAATATCTACCATAAATAAAAACACTGTAATTATCTCAGACTACATACAGTGTTGAACGGTAGGATGAGTAGTAAATGATGATTTGGAGACAATAAGGAAGAAAGCGGTCACATCCTCTTGTGGGCACTGTCCTGATATTTTCCTTTAGGTAATAGGGAATCCCAAAAAACCAGTCATGAAAACCTGTGTTCCAGCCATGATTCAAACCAGGCACGTTCTAAATAAAAGTCTGAAGGGTCACTATTTGAAAAATCTCACTCAGATATGAGGTATCAAATGAATCTTGACAATGTGTTCTGGAGCCATGGACTATGATGTGCACTCTTTAAGAAGAGCTGCATGGGTTTCTATGCCTGTCTCAAGCGAAATTCGAGCTAAGTCGCTACATACTTATTGGAACAAAAGTTGTTTCGAAAGAAAGTTGCATAGAAACGTGAAATACATTTTATTCCTATTTCACTTTCCGTTAGTCATAGGCCCATGATTTTAGGGATAATTAAACAGATTAATCTTAGTACAATGTCATCAAATACATTTGGGACGGAAATTTAGAGGTAATAACAGAGCACATTTCCAGAATATTTTGCTGTGCATACATTTCCTAGCTTGTTTAGATTATCACTGTGCTGCATTCTCAACATCGCTGGTCAGGCAACCACTGTGGCACATTCCAAGGACATTGTCAGCATTTGTAGCTTCACCCGTTACGTTCGAAATCATGCCGCTGGAAACAGCTGATGTTAGTTTTGTAAAACGTAAGATTTTAAACAAGCATACAAGCAAGGAATGACCAAGTGTTTTTGAAACTTCTTATTCGTAACGTATGGGAGGCCTGCATTATCCCTATGTGAATTGCGAAGCTGTTGTCGCAGAAATGATCAGAGAGGCCATAGCTAGGGAACGACAACCTGGGCTCAGAATTTAGGTAGGCGCCGAGGCCTCTTCGACGGCCTCTGTGATTAACCTATCATCATAATTATTGGATGAAAGGGGCTCAATCTCCAGAATGAAACGGTAGAGGAGTGAAGCTAACCATTCAGCTCCAACCACTGCCGAATATATGAATGCATGCAGTTCTATCACGACTTCCCTCTATCTCTTAATTATGCGATAAGGACAACCCAATGTGTACGGCGGATTTATTGAATAACGGTTGAGCAGGCTGATATACTTTGTGTTCGGAATGTGTCCGGAAAGAATATTGGGGTATAATATCACTACAGCTTCCTTTCACACCATTTTCTTTTTACTATTGACTATATTCATATCATTCGAACAATACACAATCTCATCTTAGCAGCTGACGTAGTCGGTACATAGACGAAGACATTTCTGAATAGTGTGTCATGACAGGTGTGCTCGAGAAAGCTGCAAGGAATCAGAAAGTAATAAAGAAGAAACAGTTCTGTTTAAAAAGTTTAGAGGAAAAAATGTCCATCATTCTGAAAATTTTGTCTCCAAATTACTGAACAAATTTTCGTGGAAAATTATATAAGAAATTTAGGCTAAAATTTATAGGGTAAAATTAATTTTCGTCCATATCAGTCATATATCCTTTCTGCATGAAGCTTGAAACGAAGTTTTAAAATTTTACTTTGTAGACTATATATATTAAACAGTTATTATATTAAAAGTAACAGTTTTACATTAGTGAATTATGTCTGTGAATGAAATATGGATCCACCATGCGCTTCCATTGCCGAACTGAAGACAGCGTGGTCCTATGACTCTATTCCCCCATATCTTCACAGCAAGGTACTTACACAAGTGCCAACATTACCGTTGCCCATTTCGGGAACAATTATAACATCGGATTTGGACTTCGTGTAAAGTAGTTGCTACAGCGTACACTTACAGACAGGGCTCGAACTAAGGTGAATTTTGATTACAACGACTTCTGCTAGATTTAATTAAAATTCGTTCTTTAAATGTATACGTGAGCCACAGAGATGTACTTCTTACCTGGTTATACGAAGGAAGAAATTAATCACTGATTAAAATCTGAGTAGTACATACGTAGATCGTGAAAGCCCTAACCAGAAGATGAACCAGAGAGGGGAGAGATTCGCATCTTCCTCGGCTGCAGAGGACAAGGGAGCGCATTGGTCACTGCCACGGAATGTCTTTAATTTGAAAAGCATATGAGCACTGAAGATGATGGAAGGTGTACTAGTGAAATTAAATCCAGGATTGCCATGGCAAAAGCTGCATTTAGCAAGACGAAGAATCTTTTTACCAGCAAATTGGACTTAAATTTGAGGAAGAAACTAGTAAAATGCTACATTTGGAGCATAGCTCTGTATGGGGCTGAAACATGGACACTTAGGGCAGTAGATCAGAAACATCTGGAAAGTTTCGAAATGTGGTGTTGGAGAAGGATGGAGAAGATCAGTTGGACCGATTATGTGAGAAATGAAGAAGTGTTAAT